AAAATAATTTTATATTGAAAAACAGTATAAAATAGTTATTAAATTAATAATGATTTGTTTTTTCGTCAATGTCATCATTTCCTTCAAAAAATTTTTCATTAAAAAATTACATTTTCATTTAATTTGACGTTTGTCAATGCAAAATAAATGGCAACTTAATTCAAATTAGTTTAATTTTTAATTAAATTTTCATTTCGTTTTCTGTAAAACGGCTCCTAAAAGATTTATCTTGAAACTACGTCAAGTTTGCCTGCCTGGTTTATTAAAGCGTCATTTTCACTTTGTTCGACTGTACCCTCTTATCCACAATTTACTCAAGTCAAGTTTTAGGCAAACGCAATTTGTTCGGATTCCCTGCGGCTCACTAAGCCAAACTGTTTTTTATAACACCAAAATTAAATCAGAAGACCCAATCTTGGCGTGGTTTATTTACAAATTGTTTGGGTGTTCCATTGAAAAAATTGAGTTTTTTAGAGAAGAATTTAGAACTTGCATCAATTTCTGGGTTAAAAAAGAGTTTATTTAAGACATTGTTTTCGTTGAGTAAATCACATTGTGACTTCCTTTTTCAATCTCCCGCCTCCGGGGGATCCCCTGTGGGAGTACCCAAGTGTTTTATGCTAGGTCCCTCGTCAGCGACGCGTCCGGAATGGTAACCACGGCGTCGGGACGCTAGGGCAAGGGTGCGTTTAGTCTGCTAGTAATCAATCAAGCAAAACAGGTGGGTCAGTGTTCGGCGCTTGTTCGGCCTTGACAGCTCAGGATATCAGCTAGCGCGTAACCAAGCAACGACGGTCTACCCGGCCCACGACGCGCTCGATAAGGAAGGTCACCCTGCCATCATCCCTACTTTTGGAAAATTTTCCCCACAAAAACTCATTGTTACCGTTTAAAGTGTTAATATTCCACTTTTAATAGTAATATGCCGATTTCTAATCGCTTAGAGGGCGGGAAATACATCGATCCCGACCTTGGTTAGGAAGTGATTTATGCATAACACAATTTCTTTGCCTACCAACAACATCAGATAACAACAACAGATACCTAAACATTATAAAAACCTTGGTGAGCATTTGATTAGACCCTTGGATTCCATGTATAAAATATTTCCCAACTTGATTGTAATATACTATTACCTAAGTTATCGTCGACTAAAAGCCCATTGTCAATGTTTAAAGTTTTAATATTACACCCTAAATAACAGTTTGACGATTTCTAACTTTTTATTAATTATAGGGCGTTTCAAAAATATTTTTTAGAACAAATTGGTTGTTATTTTTTTGACAAAATTCATTTTTTATAAGGTATCGTGATCTAAACAATGTTCACATTAGTAACTAAAATTAAAATTAAAATTACAGCTATAAATCAGATAAACTGTTACACTTCATTTCATTAGAAACCATTTGCAAAAAACTGTATAATTTAATAAATTAGCAATAATGTTCAAGTTCGACC